TGTAATTTATGATGGAAATTCATTAGCAAACCTCATTTTAAGTGCATTTTTACGCGTGCCAAAATGCGGTCAAATGCAACTCTGCATCAATAATGTTTATAGCGATTTAGCTTTTATGTATTGACATACTTACATATATGTATATGAACGTACATACATACATCTTTCAAAGTGGTCTGTATTGATTGCAAGTCCTTGTGCTGTGGTGTAATTTATTGCACAATTCTCAAGTGTTTAAATAAACCGCATTAAAAATATTTACGTTTCATAGAAGTAAAAAAAAAAAGAAATAAATAAATGCAAATCGAAAACGTTTTATTAGGTGCATTGTTTATTTAGTATGTTTTGATTTTGGTTTTAGAAAAATACGCAAGTACATACCAAGTTTATGGCTTCTGCTAGAATTTTGAAAATAAATAAGAGTATGTCAGTTTCCTAGCAAATATTTGCATAAGTCATTCAGTTTCTGAAAAACTTTATAAATATATTTTCGAAACTTTATTAATAAAATAGGGGTAAAGCCTTAAAACCCCCGAAGCTCTCGAAATTTTTACTAAACTTTCAAAATAGTTTCGATTGCATTTTGAAAATATTATATTACACTCAACTAAACTAACCGACTAAACCGACTCTCAGAGGGGTTTTCACCTAATTTAAGCGGCCAAAAGTCGAATTTCCAAGAGACAAGATATGGTTTTCCAGCTCCTGCTTAAGCTCTCTGTGTATCTTTATTGATTTGCTCTGTCATATTTTAGCTGCAACAGCTACCTTTTGCATTCCCATACCCAACTCTGATGCATAGTGCATCCGTCTTTTCAGCTGTAGTTAGCTTACTGCCAAGGCCCATAGCAGACGAGATCGAACTCCACTCCACTGGAGTAAGCCCACCTGACAAATTTGCCCATTGATTCTCTTGCTAAATAGGCCTGCAATTGGTCTTCAAACATCACTCGTCACGAGTCAATGCTCAGATCCGTCATCGGTGTCGTAACTGATGAGGGCAGGAGGTCGTTGAATATGCCCTCGATAGAGGAATGCTATTAGGCTATATTTCTTAAAGAATAGTGATCTTTCAATATACGGCTTGATATGGGAAATACATTCCATTTCGGAATTGAAAACTTCTCTGGACTCTCTCCACTTTTTGAACATGTGGCCAAGAGTAAAACCCCCTCTTATTATAGCATGCAACCGTGTGTACTACGTTCCAATGTTTCTTTGAGTTGAATGGAAGAGACCCCGTCTACGTAGTCCCGGTCTTTTTTACGGCTTGAAGGTCTCCCATAGCCCGACTAATATTCCCTTTAGAGAAAACTTCTTATTATATAGGTTTATAGCACGATTGAGAGAATACAAAGGTTGCGCCGATCTCGGACCGCTATTCCTCTCTTAACGAATTTGACAGAATTGTTGTTTGCATGACGTCACACTTGTGCAACTTGTTTACGTTTTCCTTGCAACATTTTTTCTTCTTCTTCCATTCTTCCTCACGTTTTGGCATTTCTCTCTCGCAATTGCACCAGTGTGACGTCACACAAAAGTTATTCTCAAAAATCCTCTCTGATCGGCGCAATTTTGTATTCTATCATTCTTGGGTTTATAGTATAATTTTGTTGAGGCTCAGGCTTATTAGCAGTGGCAACAGAGAAGTGTGTCCTTAGAAATAGCTTCCTCTGTCCACATGTCGTCGAATCTGTGCAGGCAAGCTGGTACTGTTAAGAGCGCTCCGAGTACCATACTACATATGTATGTACTACATACAAGAATGATAGAATACAAGATTGCGCCGATCAGAGAGGATTTTTGAGAATAACTTTTGTGTGACGTCACACTGGTGCAATTGCGAGAGAGAAATGCCAAAACGTGAGGAAGAATGGAAGAAGAAGAAAAAATGTTGCAAGGAAAACGTAAACAAGTTGCACAAGTGTGACGTCGTGCAAACAACAATTCTGTCAAATTCGTTAAGAGAGGAATAGCGGTCCGAGATCGGCGCAACCTTTGTATTCTCTCAATCGTGTACTACATACATATCACTGTAAGTCAACCCAATAAACACTGTGGCGAACGTTCGAAAAAGACCTTCGATATCCAATATAAATATCGTACTGGGAACGAAGTCATAACCAACTTTAAGTGCGGAATACATTGAAAACGACGAGCTACGAACCACTGTTTCCTATTTGTTATCTTCATCATTTAAACGTTTTGTCGATGGCGACAAAATTTTTTGAGCGCGACAGCGACATAATGAATTTGTATGAGTTTGACATAAAAGAAGAGGAATAACCTTATCTGTCGCTGGAAAAATAGATATACATAGATCTAATCTGGAATACGTGGAAAAATAATTTCACACCTGTGGTCCGTAGCTCATATTTTCATTGTGTTCGGGCTATTAGTTTAGTATTAGTTCGAGTAAATTGGAAATACACTCGAAATGTGTTCAAAAAAAAGTGAAATCCAGCTCATTCTCGAAGACTCTCTCACAATAAAATTTCAATTCGATAATCGGCTGGATTTCGAATTCATAACGAAGGGAAAATACATTGGATAACGAATGTTTAGTTTTGCTGGAGAATGGTCTAGTTCTCGAATCGAATACTAACCTATTGCACATTCGTTATCGAAGGTGAGACTCGAAAAAATATTGGTTTCCAATCATTTTCGAATTGTTAACCAAGTCCAATATTTATTGGGAACCAATTAAAGTACATGCATTTGTATTCCGAGCCCTAACCGCGAACAATACGTACCTAAGCGACATTTTTATTTTTCTTTGGGTACAAAAGTGCTTCTAGAGCATGTGGATGCATGCATATCTGCATCGAAAATAAAATTTAGAAAAAGTCGTTTAATTTTTTTGCGGAAAGGGCACGATATGTAAGTAATTAAATAAATAAAAATAATAATAATAATTTATTGTGAGCGGGGCTCGGAGAGAAATAAAATACCGAAAAAACCTTTGCTCCGAAGCCTTGGAAGAAACTATATTTCATACGTGCGCCGGGTATTATACTTCTTTACTTGTTATAATTGATTTGATTTAATGTTCGCTTTAATTTTTGTCAGAATTAATTGGGTCCGTTTTGTTTTATAGTACCAGGTTGACCGAGCTTTGTCCGGAGTGCATATACTTTTTAAAGTTTTCAAGTTGTGGATAAAAATATTTTGGAAATAAAAAAAATCGATTTCGATATCTATTAAGTAAATTTTTTACTCTAAAATTTAGGTGGCAACCCTATTCCGAAATACGTTGGAATAAATGGTACATATCTTGAGCGTATATGTACTGTGTATACATAAAAAATGCTGATTGAAATTAACAAAATAAATATTTTTATTGCATAGGAGCGTGGCAAACCCGATGGAAAATATTTTCTGACCAAAGTTCTCAACGATACCTTTCATTTGATATCCATATTGCGATGCTTTAGATAAATTGTGAAGAATCGAAAATTTAGTGGCAACCTTACACTATTATCCTAAGGAATAACATTTTGTATATAGGGAAAACATTGTTTAAGAACCTACTCTTGGTACCATTGAATAGTAATATTTTACCTTTTTTCTAGACAAAAAATTAAATAACTGTGTTATTCAAAATAGGTGGCAACCCTATTAAAAATATTTTTGAATTAGGGACTTTAAAATGCCTTCGATTTGATACCCATATGATGATGTCTTAATTAATTTGTAACTAATTTCGAATAAGTGGCAACCTTATGCGAGTCTTCTCGGAGATAGTGCCTATTCAAATAACCTTAAAATCCAAAGCATTATCTGTGTACGAAATTTCATCAAAATCGTTAAAGCCGTTTCCGAGAACCCTATGGATATGTGTATATATACATACATATAATGTATATATACAAGAATTTAATGTAATAAGATAATTTTTCATTTAATTTTTATTAACCGACTTCAAAAAAGGTTATCAATTCATCTCAATATTTTTTCTTATGAACATATGTATTTTACCGAATGGTTTAGTTCGCATCATTAGATCATGCAGAAATTAACGGTACTGCTGAATTTGTATATGAGCATTGAAGTCCGTTTTATTTTTCGCTTAAAGATGACTTGTATTTTGTTTCTTTTTTAACCGACTTCCAAAAAAGGAGGAGGTTATCAGTTCGTCGGAATATTTTTTTTTTTTTTTATGTATGTTACCGCATAACTTTGGACCACGTCAACCGATTTCGATAATTTTTGCATCGGAAAGGTAGTGTCTCAGAGGTGGTCCCATACTAATCTGGTTAAGATCCGATCAGCGGATCATGAGATATATATATATATATTTTTTTTTTTTATATGGGAGTTGAAGTCGGTTTTTTTTTTGCTAAAAATTACTAGTTAGTTTATGTACTCTGATATTTTAGTTTCATTAAATCAAATTTTATATTTCTAATTCGGTTCAAATCCGATCATTAGATCATGAAGAAATTAACGATCATCTTAAATTTTTATAAGAGAATTGAAGTCGGGTTTGTTTTTTGCTTAAAAATTATTTGTTTATTTAATTGTTTTTGTGTTCTCTAATTTTTCTATGCTTGCTCATTACTTATTTTATTTTAACTTACTTATATAATTCTTTATTTATGTATCTGTGTTCATATGGAAAAGTAGCTTATGTCGAAGGGCTGGATTTAGTATAAATCGGCATTCGCAGCATGCGATTGCGAATAACTCACAGCAACTGAGCTGTTGAACAACGTTTGGCAAACAAACGTGCCAGAAATAGTAACGATACTAGCAAGTCATTATTCTTATTAAGTCTCATGGATAAATTTCTGGGCGTTTAAAGAATAAAGGGAATGCCGCATTATACTAAAGCCAGCGTTTCGACATAAGCTACTTTTCCATACTAACACAGGTATGTATGTGTATATGTACTAATTTATTATAATTTTTTCTGTACTCTGCTGTTCTAGTTATTATATTCAGTACTCAAACCAAATATTTTAATTTCTGATAAAAAAAAAAGTTATGTCACGACTTACCGCTACGTTTATATCCGGCTGGATCTTGTTAAGCGTTTTTTCTAGTCTTTTCGGGTATTTTTTAAATGATCTACGTTTTTCTAAAGGACTTCTGTGAAACACAAAATTTTTCGAAGCTTTCGATTTGCAAATTTGGTTTTGTCAACGTTTCACATTTTCTTTACCAACGAAGTAGAAAATTAACGGGTTTAAGTAAATAAATTGAAAACGATTTTATGAATTTTGTGCATTTTTTTATACTTTTTATTTCAATTCTTTCAAAATCTTTTCTCAGCATTTCACTGCATATCGATCGGTGTCCGACACACACACACACACACATACACACATCGACGTCCAACACTAATTCGATGGACACATGATGCCGTCGTCGCGCGCCAATATTTCAATCGATTCTCATAATTTCACTTTGTCGCCAACATTTGAAGGACACCACCCAAATATTCTTAAACAAATATTTAATTCAAATATGATGGCGCCACACTATTTTGATTGCCAGTTCATAATTGTGTTGAAACACTCAACAAGCAATTATGTATATTCACACGCGCATAATGCAACGACAAAAAAGCAATAAAAGCACGACACGCGTCACATAAAATATAACACAAATTTACATTCATAAATATATAGTATTTAGCTATATGTAGTACATACATATAACCAAACTTTTAAGCAACAAAGAAAATTTTCAAAGGAATTTATTTATTTCAAAAACTTTTATCGAACGTTATACTCGGCGTAGCGGTGAAAGACTAAACTGATATCCGTGCGAGCGCGATCCAATTCAAGTGACGGCGAGCGACAGTAGCTGAGCGCAAAAATATGATATAAAAAAAATTCGAAGACACCTCCTACTCATAGCAATGTACTTACAGCCCGCTACAAAACGATATCACTTCAACTTGTTAATCAGTTTTGACTTTTTATTTTCTTTTTGTTCAATGTTAATTATTTTTCTAACAAAGAATTTGATCTATTTATCCAACATAAACCGTATGAATCCAGACTTTGTACAAAAATTATACAAATTACCACAAAATTGTCATTCCAATTCGAAGCATTTTAATTAAACATTCTAGAATAATTTTTAGTATGCAGTTTTATAGCTTATTGAATTCTAATACAATAAAGGAGAACGAAAAATGACACTGAAGATGGCACAACGCCGAAACCGGTTTGTCTCCAAACCAAATTTGACAAGGGATGACGGAAAATCGTTCCACATTACATCATAAAGCACAAGTTTGAAATTGCTTAAAAATCGCAGAAAAAAGTAGTCAAAACTGGTCAAAATGTTAAGGTGCTCACTTTTGCCGCGGACTGTACATTCGCAAATGTAGTTGTTGTGGGAGAGTACACTGATCGGCAGCTTGTCGCTTGCGCAGCAAGGTGATTTCTTGTGAAGATGCTTCGAAGATATGTACATATGTATGTATGTACACACATATGTATGTAAATAGATAGTTAAATAAGCGTGAAAGAAATGTGTTTGAGGCAAGGTATTCGTGCATCAGTAATACATATGTACATACGTATGTATAAATGTGGGTAAATCAACAGCTCCCTCAATGACATTCGATGATTAGTTCTTTCAAAACCCACTTAGTACATTCAACTTCATAAGTCGTGTAAACGCGTGTAAAGAAAATTGTATTAGATAAATTTAAACATGTTTATGTTCCAAAAGACAAAAATTTCAACAAGTACTTCTGTTATGCTATTCTGTATATTTTTATTTAACATCTCTACATCTATTGTCATTTCCGGTTCCTTTTTTCAGTTCAATCATTCTCCATCCTAAAAGTTAGCTGGCAACACTAATACTATTGTTTTGTTGTTTCCTTGTTGTTGTTGCTTTCATCAGCTGTGGGCATTTAGTGATAAGAAATTGTGTAAAAGTATATGTTACTATTATATCGATTAATTGTTTATCGGCAAGACGAAATACATTGTTTATTTCCATTATTTTTACTGCTTTGGTTTTAAATTGTGAACTATAATGCCCCTTGATTACCCTGAATTACTTCTGTTGTGTTCTTGTTGTTCGCACAAAGTTGTACCCCTGCAGTGTCATCTGTACCCGATATCAGCGTAAACATCNGTACTTTTCTACTACCATTTTCGAAACACGGGATTACATTCTTGCCCTTTCTCTCCTTCGTAAATGCAACCTTTTGTAAGGGAGTGTCAAACCGCAGCTGTCAATAATTATCTAACCTTGTATTATTGAATCATGATCGATATGCATCAGAAATCGTATTTTCAATACACATTCCTATCCAAATAAGCAAAGCATAAATTTAATAAAAATAGTCTTTGTTTGAGCTAAGCATAAGAGTCGCTTATTTTTCTAATATTTTACCACTATTTTATTGTGCAAACTTGCGGACAAAGCCTTCCAACAAAGCTTTTGCAATGACAACACCAACGAGATTTGCCGTACTGGCACGCACTGCACGATTACAATTGATTCCACCAGCGCAGGCTGAGGTTGGTGTGGAAAGTTCTTCCATACCGTCAGCACAGGCTGAGCATGTAGAAAGTACTTCAATACCGTCAACGCAGGCTGAGCGTGTGGAAAGTACTTACATAGAGCTGCATAACTTCACAGTTGCTGCTGGTACGCTTATTAAAGTATTACCAGCATCTGACATTACGGCACAAGAGCCTGCAGTTGCGTCTACTGTTCAAGTGTATGTGTATGATACAGTGTTCCGCGAACCAGACACCACACGCATTTTTCAATGCACTCGCGATAGTTTGCTGCCAGTATCTGATGATTTGTGGCCTTTTATAGTTAGCATACCAGAACCACAACGTCGTTTACAACTATTGCTTGACCATGATCGCTGTGAATGGCTGAGCAATGCAATGCCAGGTGATTTAGTTTATGTGCCAAGACGTTGTTTCGCGCAAGAAGGTAATGTGCGTTACGATTGTATTATTTGCTATATTGGCCCAGTGCCGGAGATACATCCAGTTGGTTACTTCTTCGGCTTGGAGTTGCTGGTTAGTAGAATGGCATTGCAACGTTATTTGTGCTTTTGCGTAATTAAGCTTTTGCTATATATTTCACAGGATGATACGCCTTCGCCACATGCAACTGACATACCATTTACTAGAAGATATTTTGAATGTGATGCCGAGAATGCAATATTTACCACAGCTGATCGTATAATACCAATACCGCCAGCGCAGGACGAAGAACCTGAAACAGCTGAATCTGCGAATGAAGCACCAGCAGGTGACTGGTCGATAATTACAATGTTTAACAATGCTCTTGATAGCATACGTGCATCACTACCAATTTAAATTTCGTTATTTTCGTAATCCCAATAGTACATGGGTATAAGGATGCCAGTAGATAATTTCAAGAGCTAAAACCCTTCTAAAAGTCCTTCCTTGGAGTCAAGAGGCCTTTCACTCTACATTTCTTTCTTCTTTTGTATGGAGAGGTACAAATTCAAGGGCATCTGCTTTCGCTACCCATAGAAGTGCATTTGTAGAACTTACTTAAGAAGGCCTTTTGGTGACATTTTTCTTAAGCTACTTCATATTTTAAAATAGAAGCTTATACACTCTCGTAAATTGTAAATAGGAAAAGCCCTTCTAGAATGCTTGCATAGGACCACTTTTAGAATGGCTGCATGGATTTATTTGCTGGGGTGAAAACTTGAATAGTCTAATCTATATTCCTCAAACTTAAAAGTTTTCTATTAATTAGATATTTTTTCTTGTTTGGTATTTTTTATCATACTTATGTACATATTTAAGAACATACATACATATATTCTATAAGTGAAGTTTTTACAACTCTATGAGTGCATATTTTTTGTCAAATTATTGCGTAATTTTTTAGTTTTTAACAACTGGAATATGTTTTAAATACATATTTACATATATCTCAGTATGTATTATACAAAATTCCATCAAACTAATTGTTTTTTTTTTTCTTTGTTTTAAAAACGCTGTGAACTTACAAGCCGCAGTCAATTGTGGCAGAAGCCGCCATGTAACCTCTGTTCTTACCAGTTGTGCAAAAGTTTATTTGCCTAAAACAACAAATATATTTGTTTCTTTCTTTGTTTCAAAATGATCCAAATGCTCATTTAAAAGAAATGCAAATATAAAGACTTTACAAAATTACAAAAATCAAGCGGGAAACCATTCTTAAAGAATTTATAACATTATGTTGCATGTTTAATTTCTAAATATTTTTTACCGATCTTTAAACATCTGCTATACTTAAAATTCCGTTCCATTATGTTATAGGCCACCAACGTACGTAAAGTCTCAAAGGAATGTAAATAGCTCCGCACCCATTTCCAGTCCTCTCACGTTAGGATTTATTTCTTATAAGGTTTAGACTTTTCTGTACTATCCTCTTTCGATTTTGCTTTTGGTACCGCCTGCGTTTCCTTTATTGCCTCCATTTGTGCTTCCCCCTCCAGTATTTCCGTTGGTATACCTTTTGGCTCGATTTTTTCATCGGGCTTAAATGACTTTAACTTGATGTTGTCTTTTTCCATTGTCTTGCCGACCCGAAAATGCTTGTGTCGTACTCCGATCGTGTCACGTATGCCGTCTTCTTTGCATTCCATATAAACATCTGCCCACAGTTCCTCTGGCTTGATTTCCTTGTCTTTTTTCACCTTCTCTGCATTTGCTTGAATTTCCTTTTTAACTTCATCATCTACTTTCTAAATAAATGAGATAAAAGTGTGAAAACTTAAAATAAATGCTTCCATAGAATATTTTCTTTAGACATACTTTGCATTCATCCTCTGTTATTAATCCCTTGGCGATAGCAACTTGTTTCAAGTACAATATCGGATCATGTTTGGTGCGTTTTTCTGTTACTTCGTCGCGTGATCGATAACTTGTACCCGGATCTGACATTGAATGACCAAAATATCTATAAGTATGTGCTTCTATAATTATTGGGCCATTTTCTTGTACGAAATCTATGGCGAATTGTGCCGCATTACGCATAGCGAACACATTCATGCCATCAACATAAAGGCCAGGTAGTGGAACACCACGTGTATAATATTCAATGGAACAGGAAGAGCGATTCATTTTGGTACCCATGCCTTTAAAAAGGAGTAAAGAAAGCAGAAAAGTTAGTACGAAAAATTGGACTATGTATGAAAGCTTGTTAAATATAAAAAAGTGTAAGGCGTTTCAAATATCAAACCAATCTGGCTGATTAATTAATCATAATTAAATATCGTCAGCGGGAATGCAAAAAGCCGTAACTAACAACCATTTTTTTATGATAAAACGATATTGGAATTTATGAATCTCGTATTTTTTAATAGTTACGGTCTTTTGCATTTCAGGTGACGATATTTAAATCAATTAATTTAATTCAAAGAGCAACTTTTTACTCCTTAGCCTCAGAGTGCATCAACCTCAAAAGTACAGTGAACTTACCATATTCATTGTTTTCGCAAACAAAAATCACCGGCAATCTCCAAAGACATGCAATATTGTAGGCTTCGAATATTTGTCCTTGATTGGCAGCACCATCACCATACAGTGCGACACAAACATTGCCCTTTGCCTCGTTTTTAAGTGCAAGACCGACACCAACGCCCAGGGGTACCTTCATATAATAATAATAATAATAACACTTGGCGCTTGCCTTCACTTTTATTAAGCTGAGGGTAGGGCTGGCTCGATATATGTGTCGTTCAATTAAAGTCGGGATATGCCCTTTTGCCTTTAAGGCATATTTTCATTGCGTTGCCAAACAATATTTTAACGTTTAACTATCCATAAGTAGGTAGGTCAAGATGCCCTTTTATTAGAAGCTAAATAAAGGTATACAAATTTTCAAGAGAACTGATTATTTTTTAATTCAAAGCCAAACCTTGTAAAGTCACTTAAGCTACTTTAATTGAACGGCACAGATTTGCAGCTTTTCATACATTTTTTCTTGCTAATTTTATAAATTAGCATATCAACTTTCGATATGTTCTAAAGGTACCAATTTATGCATCTCATACTTTTACAGATAAATTGGGAATCACAATTTGAAATTGTCTGGAGAGAGTTTTTTTATTATGCGGTATTTTTTATTTGCCGTAAGAAAAATCATGTCTGCCGTTAAATGTTATTTTAACTTTCTCAAACGCATGCCTTTTTAAAGCACGCTATTATCATTTAGTGAGTAATTGAATGGCAGTAGCTGTTAGTACAATTCATAAAATTTTCCAGTAGTCGTGACTATCCCGAGCCCACAAAAAAAAAATATATATAAAAATTGGTTTGCAACATTAGTCTGGATAACAAATCAATTGTCTTGCTTTCACAGTAAATTATTCTGCGTGGGCCAAGAACTTTTTTGATGCGCTTCTTAAACAAAAGCTTAACCAAATTTTATCGACACTTTTAGCCTAATCGTGTTTACACAAAATGTCTCTATGAAAAAGTTGTTCCTCCGAAATGTCTCTAGAAAAAAGTTTTTCCTTCGAAATATCTCTTTAAATTGCTCTGGTATCACCACCAGTAGTCATATATGTACAAATTTGTCTACGAAAATCTTTGCAAGTTCCATATAATACCTTCGCTATTGTACGCTAGAGAAAATGGTAAATTCAGCCGGTTCGTAGAATTATCCACCGGTTTTTGTTTTAGCAGCAGAGCTCAACCCTCCCATTGAGTAATGTCTTTATCTTCAAACTTGGAGAGCCTTTGGCCAAGAAATCGGTTGGTGATTATAAAGCCGTCAGGTAACCATATCGTCGAAGGGATGGATGGTGTAACGTATTCTCTAACGGACAGATCTTCGCGACTTCCCTCGGTTTCGGAGAGAATTTAGAATGGGATGCATGAGCAACTCTAAAATGATCTAGTCTTTTTACCCAAAGAAAGGAATTTAGTACATTTTAGAAGATTTAGATAGTTTGAGGTAGGCTTAGATTGTCGTACTTCCAAATAATAGTTAAAATCTTGTGCCTGAAGATGGGAAGACTGAATGCCTGCACTATTTCTGAAGTGCTTCAAAGAAGGTAATGAAAGTATTTTCAAAATCTTACCTGAGCACCCACGATACCATTACCGCCGTAGAATCTTTTGCAGTACATATGCATAGATCCACCTTTACCGCGTTGACAACCCGATTCGCGTCCAGCCAACTCACCGAGTATTTCATATGGTGAGATGCCCATCACATGACACCAGCCATGACAACGATATGCCGTTATAAGGTGATCTGTGGGACGCATTGCGGAATTTATGCCTATTGGTTTATCAACAAAAAAAAATATATACATAATTAATTTAAAACGTTGGCGATTCTTTTATTATTTTATCTGCCCAACCCACCCACGCAAACGGCTTCCTGGCCAGTGTAAAGATGACAAAAGCCACGCACGATCTTTTCCTTATACATGGCATTCGCAACAGTTTCCAAACGTCGTATCGTCGCCATTTCTTTATACATTTTTTGTACTAGCTCCCTATTTATAGACAAGGTTTCAGGTGGAAATTTTTCCAGACGCACGCATTTGTAAGCCTATTTTAGTTGGGCGCAGACAAAAAATATGGCAAATCGTTTAAGAATTCTTAAACATGTATGTATGTATGTATGTACGTACATTATTCAAATCAACTACCGCTTCGGTGGCATAGGATTTAGTGGTTTGTTGCACTGTTAACTCTGGTGATTCCTTGAAAAACCAACGAAAAAGCCGAGAATTTTGCGGCCAACGTCGTGGCACTGACTGGCTGGTTCGCGCGCCCGCGGCAGCCGCAAACATGCTGCAAAGCGAAGTACGCAAAGTGTTTATGAAGGATTTAAAGTTTCTTAAATTAATTGTTTAAGAATTATATTAGCAGTTTTAAATGTAGAAGTCCTTAAGTGTATTGAATACGAAAATAAAAAAAATTTTGTTTTTGAAAATAATTTCGAAATAAATTATTTTTGACGGCTAAACGAAATTACCAGCGCGTATTTTTTGTGCTACTTTTTTTTTAATATGTACCTTAATTTGCTTATGCAATCTTAAAGTTTTCCACAACTACTGAGCTGAGCTGACTTCCTGTTCGAAATTAAAACTCGATTGGCTTATTGAAGGACTTAAGATTCTGTTTTTATGCTAGTTCTCGTAGTCAGCTTTCTATGATACTCAGGACCGTATCTAAAACATTTTTGCAAGGCAATTTCGAAAAAAACTAAATTGCCGAACTTCGTTATAACTTCGGCATTTACAGTCGGATCTTAAAGAGGATATATCGATGTTCCTGTCGAAGAGCCAAAGTTTTTGTTCTAAAGTTCATTGACCCAAGTACCCCGTCTTAGTACTTAGATACCCACCACATCTCAGTTCTTATCACCCTAACGTTCCATCGTAATGTCAGTAAATCAAAAATCATTCTTTTGCTATGGGAGTATTTCGATTATTCTAGTAGAACTATTTAGAAAAAATATTTATAACGCCAAGTATAGGTTTCACCGAAAAATGTCAAAAAGGCTCCTTGATTCGGCAAAAAATAGGGGTATTCGAGATTTGTTGTATATGCTCTTGTATTCTGTATTTTGTGATATTTATGGTTTTGGTAGTAAAATTCTACAATGCATCGCGGTTAGAAATTTTACAGAATACAGGCGCATATACAACAAAACCCGAATGCTGTTACAACAACAACAACCCCTAATGTTTTTTACGAAATTTCCATGCAAAAATGCTCTACCGACTCAGGGGTGCGAACTTTTTTGATTGCTTGTAAGGTGGTACCAAGGCGAATTAATTTTTTTTTTTTTTTTGAAAATCGAAACGCTACTCACAGTGGATGAAACAACACCACCTTATATAAATTCGCCTTGTTCGGTACGGTCTAGTTTACATACATACATATGTACATAGGATAGAAATCCAACAATTTCAAAACTGAATTTTTGAAAAACACTTGGTAAAAGCCAAAGCTAGAGCTAAAAAAAAAAAATTACTGGGTTTTTGTACATTTTTTACTTTTATTTACTTTAATAATGTATGTAATTCATTGCTAATAAACTTTACATTCTCTGGCTAGTGTGACTTTTTTGCTTACATTACTCGGTCAAAAATAATGATTTGCATATTTTGTTAATATTTATATTAGGTACATAAATACATGATGATTTTAGTTAAGCTTTTGTGATATTTACAAAAAATGTTTCAAGAGAAAACTAATTTTTTTTAGCTATATATGTACATATGCATATGTATCTTCGATGCAGGTTTGATGTTATCAACAAAATAAAATATCCAATATTTATATATGTATATGTAAGTTTAACTAGAATATCCGCAATTTAAGTCACTGTGTTTGTTGAGAATTGCATTCAAGTGGTTTGAGAATAATCAGAGTAATTTTTTACTAGTGATTCGGCTACACTTTTCAAACTTAAACTTATAAGCAAACGAATGAAAGTGTTTGCTTATACTTTATTTTGTTATTGTTGTTAACATTTCTGTTACTCCAAATGCTAGGCTTAGTGGTTGACACCTTTGCGTTGTGAGATATGCGTAATATCGTAACCTGTAAGACCGCGCAGCTTAGGTTCCAGATTGTTAGAGTACACATCAGTCCACAAAGCGGGTGGTGGGAGCTCTTTGTCGTTCTTTGCAATTTGTGTGGCTTCATCGATTTCCTTGCGCACTCTGGTGTCGATTTCCTACATTGAAGGCCGAAATATAATACAGATTGTCAAAATCAAATATTTACTACTCCATATTTACCTTAATTTCGTCGTTAGACAAAAGACCCAACTCAATACACAGCTCCTTGAATGATGTGATTGGATCGCGTTTCTGGCGCACTTCTTGGATTTCCTCACGTGTACGATAGCTGGTGCCGGGATCGGACATGGAGTGACCAGAATAACGATAGGTATTGGTTTCCAATACAATTGGACCCACCTTATTCACATATTCGATGGCGAACTTAGTGGCACTACGTACAGCCAACACGTCCATACCATCGACCCAGATACCAGGTACTACATCACCGCGGGTGTAGTAGTCTGTGTTGCAGGAGCCACGCTCGGTGCTGGTACCCATGGCATAGTTATTGTTTTCACAAACGAAAATTGCCGGCAATTTCCACAATGATGCCATGTTGTAGGACTCAAACACTTGACCTTGATTGGCGGCACCATCACCGTAGAGTGCCAGGCAAACGCCACCATTGCCCTTATATTTGCAAGCGAGTGCGACACCAGTACCTAGTGGCACCTATTAAGCAAAAAAGAAGGTTGATCGTACAAAAGTAGGACACACGAAATCACAAATGCAAAAAAAAGTTAGTATTTTCTCATCATCATATAACTTACCTGCGCACCCACAATACCATTTCCACCATAGAAATTCGGTGCATACATGTGCATGGAACCACCTTTGCCCAAAGCACAACCGCTCTGTCGGCCAGTCAATTCAGCCAACACGCCCAATGGTGAGACGCCCATCAAGTAAGTCCAACCGTGCACACGGTAGGCAGATATAATGTTATCTTGCTCGCGCATGGCGGCTTTCATACCTGTGGATGACAAATACAAATTCAAGGTTAAATGTTTTTGCTTGTTCTCTTTTTAACTCACCAACAGCACAAGCCTCCTGGCCGGAGTACAAGTGACAGAAACCACGAATGATCTTCTCCTTGTACAAATTACCAGCGGAAGTTTCAATGCGACGAATTGTCTGCATTTGCGTGTACAACTTGGTGGCATCCTCTTTGGTCAAAGTGACGCTCGTTTCGGGTCCTTCGTCGAGTCTATGCAGTTTGAAGGGCTGCATTAATAATTAGAATTTGTTAAGAATACTGCATTTATTTAATAAAATGGTGTTTGTTAGTAGGGCTACAGCTATTTTAATTCAATTTTCATTACATAAAAACCCCTGTAACAATTTTATTAATTTATATGTTTTAAAGACCTATGCAAATATTTCGAACCTCTAAATTTAAAGGATATTTCATTAAATTTTATTTGAACTTTCCGAATATGTACCTACTTCTCATAGTAAAGAATTTCTCCGGTTACCTTCAACTCGCAGTTTAATTGCATACGTCTATTGTTGTCATAAATTTTATACATTCTTAAAATATTTGACTGATTCATAAATAGCAACAACAGCACAGTTTTAAAATTTATGACTTTATGACAATATAACGGTTATGACACGTTGTATGTAGTAAATATACTATTTGCTTTATGAAGAAATAAAAATAAATTAGTGAAATCTCGAAATTCCATCACCACGACATCGCATTATCAAATACTTGACTTAAAAAATAACTAATGACGGGCCCTATAAATTTGGATTTCGATAAGATTTAAGATAAGTTAACATCATCTTGAACTTCGCTACTGTCTTTTTGACCGCAGCTGTATGTGTCTTATAAATGAAACATTAGGCCCAAAAACTGTACACCCAAATTCATAATAAATACATCGAAAAGTTTTATGAAAATTTAACTTTATAAGCTCTTCAAACCTATTTTATTTTATTGAATAAGGCACTAAACTACATACTTAGGTATATATTTTAAAATTGTTAATTGGTATGAATGAACTAAAGGGATGAAATGGCATTTACGAATTTAAGTAGTTAGTATACATTTACAGCTGCCTTTCCGCTTGCCGGTAGCTATTAAAACACTCCACGTTTGAAAAAGTTTACATACATCGTTAATGTGTTAACAAATTCATCTGGCCTGTGTAAGAATTTTTAGCCAAGTCTGTGCATTGATAACACACCGCGCGCCAATTCGCTTATGGAAATTAAAAAAAGGCAAGCGATAAGCAGGCCCCATTGACGTGAACTTAGCGTGCCATAATAATCAGATTTATTTCTCCGGGCATACATACATATGTATGTACGTACACGCATTCATTTGCACAGCTTCTATTACTTTCATGACCTTCAGTAGACAAATGTGCGCCTAATTACCAGCGTGGTATACCTAATCCCCTTTTTAATTTTCCATTTTTTTAATTTTCTACATGCATAAATGCAATTTAGCCACCTGACTCGTCACTTTTATTTTTCTTTGCTGTAAAACATGCGATAACACAGCCAACCCACACTACAAATCTTGCGTCAAAAGGTGTTATGTAACTACATATGATAGAAGTATAGGATGCAGAAGATAAGTGCCGTAAGCATACAACGCTACACTTATGAGGGTGGCAAACTTACGCGATTCACTTGTACGGTCGCCTCCGTTGCGAATTTGTTCGATTTTTGTGCACCAGCCTGGGCGGCATTCTGGAAGAAACCGAAAAATGATGAATATTTCCTGCACATGTAATAATTTGTTGTTTTGATTTTAGCTGTTAATGCCGCTGCTGCCGCCTGATGGTGTAAGCTGCAGCTAACCAAAGGAGCTGCATGCTGGCGCCGGAGCAGGGTCAACATGCTGCCACCAATGGGACGACGGCCACAACCAATTGTCGTCGTCACCAGCGTTCTGCAACTACATACTTTTTGCAATTGTTTTGCCACAATTGGCATTTCGCTGCAACGGGAAAGTGTACGCAACATTTTTCTCTAAAATATCGTATTTTTCGCAGGTTTTTATATAAAAAAAGAATTTTTTCGTGCACTCGAAAATCGCGTAACACCTCGAACCTCGATCGACCAAGAAGAATGTCGACGAATGTCAAGCGAAAGAATAAAAATAATAAAATATGTCATGCCTCTTCTTGACCGAGTTGTGAATGAACCAGTGTAACCACTTTGCTGTCATCACTCTGTACTAATTTTAGGAGGTTACACCACACTGAAAAAATAAAATCTAAAAGTTAAGTTTTAACTAACCGCTAACACAGTTTTTGATACAACGGGGGGCCAATTCCTGTTCCGTGAAAGCGTGAAGTGAAAACATTTCTCATCACTTCACATACATACAAAGGGTTGGCTTTCCTTTATGGCCGTTCGTTATAGGGGTGGTGGGCGAAAGGTAAGTGGGCGTGGCACCTCTAACCCACCTTTTTGGAGAGGGAATGAACCGCCATTGACAAAAATGCAACCCCCGACCACCTAGGTCGTCTATGGTTCCTTAGGGACCCCTTAGAAAAATTGCCAAAAATCACAATTTTCATTTGCGTTTATTGGCTTGAAAAATGTTAAATATTCATTTGCACAATACATTTTTATATACACCCAGTAACCAAAATAGACATCACTGGGGCGGCAGCCCCAGGTTTACCACACAGAAAGGGAATTCTAGTTACCTCATCCTTTCCCAAGGTTACATCACAGGGGCGGTAGCCCCATTTACGCAAAATTACTGTGGACGCAAGTAAAAATTGCGATTTTTGGCCATTTTTCTAAGGGGTCCGTAGGGAACCATAGGGGCCTAGGGGGTCGGGGGGTGCATTTTTGTCAATAGCGGTTCATGCCCTCTCCAAAAAGGTCGGTTGGAGGAGCCACGCCCACTCCCCCTTCACCCACCGCAGCTTTAACGAACGGCCATAATGGAAAGTTTCCCCCATACAAATACGATTCTGTTTTCAAATGTAAAAAAATTAATTTGTCAAAAAATTTTTACTGGGAAAACTTTTTTCACAAAGTTTTGTGGCTGTGAAAAATAAAAGTTGGGTATTTTTCTCAAAACCGTCATCTTGTGATTAAACTCACAATATATACCAAATAATTGCTTGCTAGATGGTAATGGAATAGCCTTTAATGATCGAGAATCGCTTAAAAAGATATAACGAAACGATAAAGTGAAAAAATTTAATTTTCACTCACATTGAATTTTTATTTTCACTTCAAAGTTTCATAGAACCAGCATTGGCCCCCAAGTTTGCCAATATGTGAAGTTACTGAAATTAAGTCTATACTAACTGAGCTTTTAGTCTTAACTTAAGGGTTAAATTACCTCTTTTGAAAGTGTGTTTGCATTGTTCAACTTTGCGTTCAATAGTTGCGTTCAACTCGGCGCAGGGTTGCACGAAAAAAAAAGTTGAATGGCTAAAAATATCAAAATATGAAAAAATATCAAAATATTCGCCATAAAAAGGTGTTTGCATTGTTCAACTTTGCATTCAACTTTTGGTTGAATGGCCTTTCAACTAATCGCTTTCAACAAAGTTGGTCGCCAGCCAACATTTAGCCATTCAACTTTTTTTTCGTGCAACCCTGCGTTGAGTTGAACGCAATTGTTGAACGCAAAGTTGAATAATGCAAACACTGCTTTACCTTCCTTTTATTAGCTCGGGATGTAACAATTGGGGTGTTCACAGTTCGTTCCAAATAGTGTCTCAAAATGTAGACGTCTACATTTTAAGACGTTTTCTAACCGTAAAATCTGTGGTGTTGTTGTTTCCCATACAAAATTGGAAAACGACGCCGTCTACATTTTGTCACACTCAAAGGTATGTTTTTTACGCGTCTACATTTTGCAACCTCGCAGCAGGGTTGCTTTATGGCAATACTAATCACATTTTTTTTTTTTATTGGGCACGTTTTCCGTATTTGCATTTAATTTCAGCGTAATTTCTGATGAAAAGAAACAAATCAAGGAAAAGAAATAACAAATATTACGAATTGGTAATTAAGTTAAATAATTACAATTTTTCAGAAACAAAATCGAAAGGCGACATATAAAAAAGCACGCAAAGAAGAAATGTCTGGCAACACCAGCAAAGTTTTGAGACGATTTTGCGACGACTGCTAGAAAGGGGTGCTCACAGTTTGATGCTAAAGATGTCTCAAAATGTAGACGTCTACATTTTCAGACACAATTTGGAACGAACTGTGAACACCCCATATGTAATATTGATGCGCCTACAAGATGCAGCGATTTCTATTCTCAAGTTACATACCTGATGACAGTACGAATGGCAATTATAATAGGGAGGTTTTAGTTTTTTAAACTATAATTTTATTAGTACTGTTAAACGTTATAAACTAACATGATTCAATAACAAAACGTTTGCTCAGAAAACAGTTTTCTCGCTCCTTCTTGACAAACGCGGCTTCATTAAAGCATAAACAGACGGCAGCGTTGATCCGGATCAACTCGGGAATTAACTTCAGTTGATCCGGGTTAAGCCCGAGTTAATCCGGATCAACGCTGCCGTCTGTTTAAGCTTTTAGCAAGGCATTGTGTGTGGGTTAGTGTGTGTGGGCACAGCTTTTGTAAGGGAGTTAAGGGAGTGTCAAAACTCGAATGGTGTACTGTGATCTAATGTCACTAGTGAGCAAACCTTTAATTATAAAAAATAATTATAATTAAATAAATAAAATAAATTTACAAAAGTTCAAATTGTCAAATTCCACTTGTAGGGGTACTACTGTACCTTATCTGCGAACAGCTGTTGCACCAATAATTTTTATCCCCTTCTAATTTGTTTTGATATATTGTGAACGATCCACAAAAAAACAGATCGTGTGCGGCATGTTGTGAATTTCGTCAATTAAGCGTGGCTGTGAAAAATTGCATTTTTATCAGATTTGTTCGTTGGGTCCTTTTAGTCATAGAGTCAGAGCCTAAAAAATTTTGTTCCTTATATTCCATATTTTTGCATAAAAATGCCGAAAGAACAGTTCCGCGAAGCTGACGTTATCAAGAAAATGTAAACTATATTATATCAAAAGTTATAAAACTCATATTTATTATTTTCCTAGTTCCCATGTGCAGTTTTGCATCAGCAGTCCTGAGGAAATCCAACAGGAATCACATTTACGCATCGTTTCAAAAAACCTGTATCAGGGTCAACGTCAACCAGTTCCTTATGGCGTGCTGGACAAACGCATGGTAAAAGATAGCTTTAATGGTATTTACCAATTTTTAATGCATATATTGAATTCAGGGCGTGAGCACCAAAGACGCCACCTGCGACACATGTGGCCAAGGTCTGAATGAATGTATTGGACATTTCGGTTATTTAGATCTCGCGTTGCCGGTATTCCACATTGGTCATTTTCGAGCAACGATTTCAATTTTGCAAATGATTTGTAAAAGTTGCTCGCATGTAATGCTTCGAGAGCCGGATAAGCGCGCATACGAAAAGAAGCTTCTAAATCCGAACTTGTCATATTTAGCAAAAAAGGCCTTGCATGGACAAATTTTAACTAAGGCCAAGAAACAAGCAAAATGTCCCGATTGCGAAGCGCCAAATGGTGGCGTAAAGAAAGGTCCAGGCTTACTAAAGATCTTACATGATCCCTGTAAGGGTAAAAAGCCAGACGCTATCATGACTGATGCGCTAAATGAGTTATTGCAGGCGACGGAAAATAATCGCGAGCTGCAGCAAATGTTAACAACATACAATCAAGTGGAGGAGTTAAATCCCTTAACAGTTTTGGAATTGTTTAAAACTATACCCAAAAGCGATATACCATTGCTCGGCATGACTTCAGATAACGCCAGCCCAGCAAATCTAATTGTAACACGCGTTTTTGTACCGCCTGTCTGCATTAGACCTTCGGTGCTGTCCGAAGTTAAGGCGGGAACGTAAGTTAAAACTTCATCAAGTTTTGTTTCTATCGTTAGCTTAGAGTGAAAAGTTGCCAAGTTCATTTCTTTTTTTTTTTTTTTTAATATACAAAATAATTACTTTACTATTTTCTTTAAGTATATGGCCAAATTTGAATAGAGCTTTGCGTGTGTAAAGCTCGATGTTAATTAAAAGATTTCATATTAATTTGGCGTTATTGAGTTTTCTTGTGTCTCTTTTGGACTTAGCTAATTTGCCTTTCGTTGAATATATGTAATTCGGAATAAACAAAGGAGGTTCCTTAATACCTTTGAAAAAGATGCATTTTTAATTTCTCTTGCTTATATCAAAATATCCGCCTGCACAAAAAGCGGACTTAGCAACTTTTTACTCTAAGCTAGCGATGTGTACATATATTTTATTGGATTTCCTTATAGCACTGAAGATGATTTAACAATGAAACAAAGTGAAATCTTGCTCATCAACGATGTCATACAAAAGCATATGACTGGTGGTGGCAAGATCGAGCTCATCCAGGAAGATTGGGACTTTTTACAATTGCACGTAGCACTGTATTTTCACAGCGAAATCTCTGGTATACCGCTGAATATGGCGCCAAAGAAAACGACACGCGGTATTGTGCAACGTTTGAAAGGCAAGCAGGGTCGCTTTCGTGGCAATCTGTCAGGCAAACGTGTGGACTTCTCTGGACGAACTGTTATCTCACCCGATCCTAACTTAATGATACACCAAGTGGGCGTACCAGAACGTGTTGCCAAGATACTTACCTATCCAGAGCGTGTCAACCCCGCAAATGTACAAAAAATGAAAGAACTGGTCAAAAATGGTACACAAAAGCATCCAGGCGCAAATTACGTGCAGCAGCGTGGTTCAACATTCAAAAAATATCTGGCCTATGGTAATCGGGATAAAGTTGCACATGATCTAAAATGTGGCGACATTGTTGAGCGTCATTTAAGCGATGGCGATATAGTACTCTTCAATCGTCAACCTTCACTACATAAAATGTCCATTATGTGTCACCAGGCTAAGGTGCAACCACAGCGCACATTCCGCTTCAACGAATGCGCATGCACTCCTTACAATGCTGATTTTGATGGTGATGAAATGAATTTGCACTTACCACAAACAGAGGAGGCACGTGCCGAGGCTTTAATACTCATGGGCAACAAATCTAATTTGATAACACCGAAAAATGGCGAAATACTTATAGCAGCCACACAAGATTTCATTACAGGCGGCTACTTGCTAACACAAAAAGATGAATTTCTAACCAAGGAGCAGGCAATGCAACTGGCAGCTTGTTTCCTAGCTGGACCCGATGCTAATATGCGCATAGATATGCCACCTCCAGCAATATTAAAGCCGCGCAAACTCTGGACAGGCAAACAAATATTCAGCCTACTGCTGCGTCCGAACAAGCAATGCCCAGTGAAGACAAATTTAATAACAAAAGGTCGCAACTACACTAGTAACTATGACTTGTGTGTTCGAGATTCGTGTAAGTTGTATACATATCTACATATATGTACTTCGGGGATTATTTAAAAACTATTATACAGTTTTTGTGTTTTATATTAATTTTAGGGGTAATTGTGCGGAACTCAGAGCTTATTTGTGGTTCAATGGACAAAAGTACGCTGGGTTCTGGAACGAAAAATTGCATATTCTACGTTATATTGCGTGATTTTGGGGAACTCTACGCTACCAAATGCATGTGGCGTTTAGCGAGGGTAAGTAAATTGTTACAAATGGTTTCAAACATGCTATTAAAAACTGAGATTTAAACAGAAACGGAAGGTTATTAAGATTATTCGTCACTTTGCTTAGAGAAAAATAAAAATAAAAATTAACCTCACAGTTCACTTATACGACCGGATACTAGTTTCATTAACAACTTTACTTATCAGTTAATCAGTTTTGTCTCAGCCTATTGAATGATTTCGTTAGCGGATTTTCCACTAAAGAACTGAACGAAAAACACGTCGCAATATTGTCAAAATAATTACTTTTGTCATTAGTAAGAACATGTATACATGCATACATTCCTATACAAATTTTTATTAATTTTAACAATAATCAGCCAAGCTTTACCGGCTGTTATTGTCTTTTCGCAAAAGTTACCCGGTTTTACAAGCTTTTATTTAACTTGTTCTGTATGTACTTATGTATGTATGTTCAAGGCAAATCTTGCAATCAATTTTTGACGAACTTCTCGATGACCTAGAGACTTGAAACTTCACAGTTGGCTCAGAACCTGATGACAATGCAATATGAAATATGAGTTAAACCGATAGGTGGCGCTGGAGTCGAGATATTTGAAAACCCGTATTTATTGGGATCCCTTTTTTGTAGTCACACGATTGGTAAAATACAGCCAATTTCTATTGAGAAATTTGTACAAATTGTTGGTCGTAGTTGGGATAACGAAAAATGTTTGTGCATTCACACGATTGGGATACGATTTGCACCAAGTTTTGGGGTAATTTTGCTATCGCATCGCATTACAGAGTAGCCCCAAAGTATTTATGGCCCGATTTCTTTCATATTTAGAAGGTTGCTTCAAAAATAAATGTTTTTACAATTAACTTATTTTAAATTAAAAGCTTATAAATAATCGCGATAAAATTATCGAATTCTAAATTTTTTGTGTTTTAATACACTGTGCACGCGCTCAAATTAAAAGCAATTTATGTTGTTTAGCAAACCAATTACTCCCATAATACCAAATAAACACATCAGTAAATCCCCTTAATTTATTTGCTGCACTACAGATTTTAGCAGCAGTATCTGATAAATACCCGTATATAAATAATATATGTATGTATATGTGCATTTCAAATTCAATTGATTGGTTCTCAATTTCTTTCGTATCTTATCAGGCTAAAATTTCAAGTTTTTCCGAGAAGCAATTAAAGAGCAGAAAAAAGTGTCAGTCTCTGTTGTTGTTGTTGTAGCGGCTACAACAACCCCGCCCAGATCGGTTGGTATCTCAGTCGTTGTCGTCAAGTTCCACTAACGGCAACCCTAGGAAGCGTGCAGCTTCTGCGGGGTTTGCCCATAAGGACAAGGTCGTTAGGGATGTCGGGTTTGCCGGGCATGCGAAGAGATGTTTCGAGTCATGTGGGGTCTCTCCGCATGCCGGACATTCATTAGGCACATCCTCATTCAGCCTACTCAGGTAGGAGTTTAACCTGCTGCAGTAGCCGGAGCGAAGTTGTGCAAGTGTGGTGCGCGTCTCCCGAGGCAGATGAAGCTCCGTCTCGTCAATGTCCGGGGGTGGTGTGCCTAGAACGGCATTCACAGGTCTAGAGTCTACATAACTCGAGACTGAGTCCCTGTGAATGCCGTTCAAGGCCTGTCTGTAGGCTGTCGGGTCCAGAGGTTGCTTAATGAACCTCTGGACTTCGTCCGTTAGTTCATATAGATGCCTCCTGACGTGCCTAGGCGAGGGCTCCTCTGCAAGCAGCTGTCTGCACGGGTGGCCACTTCTGTGGGTCCCGATCAGGAACTGCTTGCAGAGCATTATATTGTGCTCCTTTACCGGGAGCATTTGCGCCTCGCCGTGCAGGTGGTGTTCAGGCGTCATCAGGAGGCATCCCGTCGCTGTCCTCAGTGCGGTGTTTTGTGCGGTCTGTAGCTTCGTCCACTGCGTCCTACTAGTCCCAGGCGACCACACTGGCGCTGCGTAGTTCAAAACCGTCAGTCTCTGTAGAAATTCGCTGCAGTACCGATATTCATGTAAAGCGTATTTCTACTCTGATAGAAATCGATGTTTTATTTAAATTTAGTTTCAGTAGCTTTCTATTAAGAAAAAACCCAACTCAAGTGCTCTTGAAGTTTCTATGCAATCACAGCTAAAATATGCACAGCCTGTCCATTATTCTTGTGTAAAAAAATAAAAATAAAAAAAGTATTGTATTAAAATAGCCAAATTTATTTCTTTTTTTCAAGGCAAGTACTTTTCAAGTGCTATTAAAAGCTATGCCCGTCACCTGCGATATGTAACCCAGGAATGAGGTTAAGCGTGCGTAACCCGACGGGTAACCCTCAGTGCACATATCTTCTGCAACAAATGAATTTATTCCGATTTGCATCCACGTGCCCGTTCGATCTGTTGTTATTAATGGTCCACCAGAATCGCCGCTGCAGATTGACATATCAGTGCCATTTTCACCTTGAGCACATAATGTTGAACTAATAACCACATTTGCTCCAAATACCGATTCACAGTTGTTATTATTAATAATTTCAACTTGTGCATAGAGTAAATTATTTGAAAAATCCAAATTTTCATCATCAGTTAAACCAAAACCAGCGATCATGGCTATTTGGCCAATGAAATTGAAGTTTGCATACGAGCTTGGCACCAGCTGTATGGGTTGTATGGTTTTGCTAAATGTTAATGCTGTTGGTAGTTGAATAAGTGACACATCATTGTTTAGAGTCGCATCGTTATAATTGGGATGAACATATAATTGTGTTGCAGTCATATTCAATGCATTAGGATTGTTAAATAACACGGTACCAAACATTAGAAACATAGAAGATTGTCCATAGGTGCAATGTGCTGCAGTGAGTACCCATATTGTGGAAATAATCGAACCACCGCAAAGCAAATCGTCCTGAGGATCTAATTTCAATATCACTTGCCAGGGAAATTGTCCAGACGAAGCAGGTGTACCGGAAATAATGCGATTTTGCTGTTTGAAAAGAGAATTAGTTTATTATTCACTCAAGGGTTCATAATATTAATTATTAGCTTTACGAAATAAAAATATACATATTATTTAAGTATACAGTTCAAATAACTGGACTTTGGTATGGACGGAAGGAAGTGACAATCTAACTGTGGTTGCTGTCTGCGTTGCCAACTATGCTATATTTTTTTTGTTTTGTTGCAGTTATAAGGCAAGAGCATTTAACGCTTCCATCCAAACAATTTAAATTTTTTTAAATATTGGTGCCTGTGTTATCTTTTGGTTAGTTTTTGTTATTAGCTCTGTATGTAATAACGCTTGGGCACATTAAAAACAATTGTTTTCATGCAGGATTTTTTTTTTGTTTTTTAGGAAACATCTTAAAGATTTTTTACGCGCGCACAAAAAATTGTGATGATTCTTGCGTACCATCACACAAATCTTAATATTTTTTTTTTGTTTCCACACCAAATTCAATGACTTCATTTATTCTTTAACTCACAATTTGCCCTAGCCTGATATCAGGCCCAACGTAGCCTTGCACAGTCGCAAGTATCACCATCAGGTATAAGAATGGCAAAAGTTTAAGTCTCATTGTTCCGAGAAGTTAAATAGCACCTACCGCGAATATCACAACAACGCTAGCACTTTGCCAAATAACGTTAAACTGCTCTGACGCGTTGGCCATTACCAAGTTTTATAACTTGTGAAATGCTTACCAGCTCCGACGATTAAGACGTATCTATACTATGGGTATTTTTATCACAATAAATTGTTTAAAAAGTTGAAGCTCTTACTTGCTATCTCTTAAATGCCTTATTGTACTTTTTAATTGTATAATTCATTCAACAAATGTTGTTATTCAATATCTTATCGGCCAACAGGTGCCCGCTCTCTTAATTATAGTGTAGATGGCATGTTTTGCTTGCAAAAAAAAAATAATAATAAGAACAACTCTCAGCTGATTACAGAAAATATGTATGTAATTTCTTTACAAATCCGGCGTCAATTTTAAGCAATACTACTTGTTTTGGAAATGTTTACGCTTTACATCGATAATGTCAGTAATTTATTCTTGGCGATTTGCTCATCCATAGATTCTACAGCGGAAATCGCTTACATATTTGATTTAGAGATTAATAAATAACAAAAATAAAGTTTCATTTATTTTACATTCGAATATTTATTAGAACTTTATTTGTTTTTACAAGCAGCTATTAATTTAATTTTTACATTAACAGATCGCTTCATTTTTCATACAAAATCGTGGCTTCTCTTTTGGAATCAGCGATGTTACACCTAGCAATAAACTGCTTGAGGAAAAACAAAAATTGTTGGAAAGAGGCTACGCCAAATGCGATGAATACATTTTAGAGATGAAAAAGGGTACATTACAATGTCAGCCCGGTTGTACGCCAGAACAAACGCTCGAAGCAGTAATGTTGCGTGAACTCTCCTCAATTCGCGAACAGGCAGCTAAAGCTTGCTTCCGTGAACTACATCCCACAAACAGTGCACTTATTATGGCACTATCCGGTTCGAAAGGTTCCAACATCAATATTTCACAGATGATTGCCTGTGTCGGGCAGCAGGCCATAAACGGCAAGCGTGTGCCAAATGGATTTGAAAATCGTGCGCTGCCACATTTCGAGAAGTTCTGTAAGTTTGCAGATAAATTGCCCCACAAAAACTTTTCCATTTAAAATGCTTTAATTCATAAATTCGCAATGTTCAATTTTTATATTTTTTTAGCGGCTATACCGGCGGCGCGTGGTTTTGTGCAAAATAGTTTTTACTCTGGCCTTACGCCTACGGAATTCTTCTTCCACACAATGGCTGGTCGTGAAGGTTTGGTCGATACAGCTGTAAAAACGGCGGAAACTGGTTATCTCCAGCGTCGTTTGGTGAAGGTAATTGTCTGTTTGTCAAACAAGAAAAAGCAAGTTACATTTAATAAATGAATGCTATTTTTTATATTCTTCTATCTTTTGCCAATCTATTGTACTTATGTAGTGTCTGGAAGATCTGGTAGTGCATTACGATGGCTCCGTACGCAACGCAATTGGTGAAATAGTCGAGCTTATTTACGGTGGTGACGGTTTAGATCCGGTTTTCATGGAAGTTAAAAACAAGCCAGTGGATATGGTGCGTCAATTAAATCATTTGCGCGCCATTGTACCGGATCGCAAGGGTACACCACTACCTGCATCTGAAATTCCGCCTGTAGCACGTAAAATTATTTCAGAAGACGAATTCACCATGAGCCGAAAAGATTTTCAAAACGAAATTATGTAAGAAAAAGTTATTTAAAGCATGTACATATATTGTATATTTGTAAGTTAATTCCATTCAACTCCCCTGCACAGCTCCTTCATTGATAAGGTGGCTCAAAAGATCGCTGGCGTACAAGCAAAGTACAGGCGACATCCGAAATTAGCACATGAAATTGAACGTCTCACCGAAGAACAAATTCGTACTTTCATGCGTTGGGTAAACGACAAATACAATCGCGCTGTCACTGAGCCTGGCACTGCTGTAGGGGCTGTAGCGGCGCAAAGTATCGGTGAGCCGGGCACACAAATGACATTGAAGACGTTCCATTTTGCTGGTGTCGCCTCCATGAACATTACACAGGTGCTGAGATAGAACTTAAAATGATTACTGAGTTTGTGACTATTATTCATTATTTTTAATCTACAGGGTGTACCGCGTATCGTTGAGATTATAAACGCTACCAAAACCATTTCAACGCCAATTATAACAGCGGAAATTGAGAATAACATTAGCATGGAATTTGCGCGTAAAGTAAAGTCGCGCATTGAGAAGACCACGTTAGGGGAGGTAAGATCCAAAATTTTGAGGCTTTGAAATATTTCATTAATACTTATCACACACGCATAGATTTCATCGTACATTGAGGAAGTTTACAGGTCAGATGACTGCTTCTTAGTCATACGTTTAGACTTGAATCGTATTAAAGTATTAGGCTTAGAGATTAACGCCGAAACTGTACGTTATTCGTAAGTATAGCGTCCTTAATTCTTTGGTCATAAGCAATAACCGCCTAAGTCGAAAAACCTGAATTCGAGAAAAGGCTTTTTAAACATTCGGATTGTAATGCTATCCTTGTCGGGAAACCAAAATATTTTCGACCATAACTTTCTAAGTAGTCTAGCTGGCGCGATGGGTATTTCACATACGCATGGAATAGTAGTTGAAGAATACGATAGCATTTACAACACCATTCTTTCTTAAGTCAACTTAGGCGGTTATTGCTTGTAACCACAGAATTGTAAATAATGCAATGCTTAAAATAATACTGTCACCTTACACTAGGATTTGCACCTCAAAACTACGAATCAAGCCAGCGCTAGTGGATGTTGTCGGCGCGTCAGTGATCACAGTACATATTGATACCTCAAAACATGGTGCCTCACTCAATGCTGAGCTACAACGTCTAACCATTTCCATACAAAATGTTGTCGTAGCTGGTTTGCCGAACATCTCACGCGCTGTCATTGCTATAGACGACGCACACTCACCGCCCACCTATAAGTTATGCATTGAAGGCGCTGGTTTGCGTGATGTTATGGCCACATTCGGCGTTGTGGGCGCACGCACCAAAAGTAACAACATCTGGGAAGTGTATAATACGTTGGGTATTGAGGCAGCGCGTACCACTATTATGACTGAAATCACAGATGTAATGGAGGGCCACGGCATGACTGTGGATCATCGTCATGTAATGTTGCTGGCAAGCCAGATGACGTCACGTGGTGAAGTTTTGGGCATAACTCGGCATGGTTTGGCGAAGATGCGAGAGTCTGTATTCAATTTAGCATCGGTGAGTGGAGAATATTTCATTTTCCTATGAATTATTATTTATGTGAATTTGCATTCAGTTTCTATTAAGTATGCATTTTTTATTTCGAATATAATCAACTTTTTAATATTTAATTAAGTAAAAAGTCTAAACCGCTAGCATCATTCCTAATTCAAAGCCCGTCGTTTGTAAATTTTCATACGCCTGAGCCTAACCTTTTTAAATATCATTCTTTTAAGAACTCGCCAGTATCTGTGATTCGTCTATACTAAAAAAATACCCTTTATACCATGCTATAATATATTGCAGTTCGAAAAAACCGCCGATCACCTATTCGATGCCGCGTACTTTGGCCAAACCGATGCTGTTGATGGCGTCTCCGAGCGTATTATCCTAGGCATGCCCGCCTCAATTGGTACCGGACTCTTTAAGCTTATACACAATCACGAGGACACCGCGTTGCCGGAAGTGGATCCGCCATTATTTCATGCTGTAACAGCGTGACCATTTAGTTTAATGCCTATATTCGGGTGATATTTATGTAGGCAACTCATTGCAAATAATACCGGTGCTGCTGCGTTCTGCACGAAATAAATTGGGACTCCTATCTAAACGATATCGTGAACTCAATTTTCAAACTAAAAGTAATATATTTTCAACTCAAAAAAAGTACAGAACTGTACTAAATACGTTAATTACATCAACTTAAATAATAATATTTCAGTCGATTTGTTGCGAATTATCGATTGAATTAAAACTGCAATTGCAGTTATTTCTTATGTTTCTTATTCATTACATTTCGTAAATTTAATGATTTTTAATTAAAATATTATCCATTGAAAAGAGCAGAAAAATTTCGTTATGATGTGTAGAAAGATATAAATTTGTGTATGAGCTTGGCTGTTTAAAAATAGATTCGCACAGCATCATCGGCGTTCTGTTCGACGGGACAGTAAGGACATTTGAGTATATGACCATTACTCAACTTATGCAATGCATCATTGGAGATAACATGTCCGCATGTCAATCGCTTTGGCGGATTATCCTCCGTGGTCTGCTGGCGCAAAATGGGACAAGCGAAAATCGAGTGATAACGATACTCAGGATCAAGATCAATCTCTATTGGCAACTCATCACGCGCATTCCAAATGCTTAACACCTGACGTGACTGCATAACCTGAAGAATAGAACATAATTTCAACATAATTTTATTTATATAAAAATCCACATTAACACTTACCTGCTTAATATTGAGCAATGCTGGCAGAGCTGTGCATCCAGCGTTAATAACTACAGATAATGCTGAATTTTTGCTGATACCCAATGTATGGCAGGCGTCTTTCATAAATACATATGATGCCTCCATCCACACTTGTGGCGAGATCAAATGCTTATACGGCGACTTATCTATGCCCATGGGCAAATAAATGAAGCATCCCATTAAATTTGGTATTTCATGTTCGAAGCGATCGATAAACTTGTTAAAATTTTTGCGGGCGTAAGCGATCGCCTCCGCTTGTGCGCCTATACCACGCGACATGATTTGCAAAAATGCTAAGCGATGTAGTTTGAATTCAAGAGTCGAATTCTTAGCAATCAATTCGTTGGAATAGCGTGTTGCCCACTCTAGTGCTGGTCCCAATTCTTGCTGCTGTATACCCTTCCAAATGCGATAGATTTCAGCGAAGCTGCTTTCTGAGTCGAAAACTTCTTGCGCCATTTCTTCGGGCATGCCAGACTCCTTAATTAGTAGACGTGCAACGTCGTCCATACCCTGGCGACAATAATGCTTTGCCATTACTTTGTTTAGCAACATCAAGTTGTCTTCATCTTGCAGTGCATCGACGCGCGTTGTAGCCGTGAAATCGGAAACAAAATTGCGATCGATTGCTTTGCCCACTTTTGACACTGATCCGTGCAAATCACGATGTTCCGCCGAAAGCCGTTGCAATTTTTCGTTGGCCTTGTGCAATGTGTCCAATACGTGCTTCACTTGGCACTCGTTGAGTCGTGGTTTTGCCGCTAAAGAAAATAATTAAATTCTAATATAAATTGCACTCTGTTCGATAGCGACTTACGTTCCATTTCGACCTGCATTTCGGCTTCATCAGCCATTGGATCATCTACATCGGAAGGCGCATCCACTTGTGTACTGGTATTTATTGTGCCAGTCATCTCCTGCTCAGCCTCGTTGAGCACCTTTAACAACTCTTCCAATAACGTAGCTACATCCGCAATTTCTGCGGTAGCATTTTCACGTATATCTTGAAATTTAGATATTACACGATCTAACTCTTTCTCTACGGCATTCAATGCCTCTAGGTCTGCGTTTTGCATGTTGGAGACAGGAAAACTAGCAGAAATTTCAGTTGGACTAACTGCGTATTGCTCTGGAAGAAAATATGCCAATAATTCCAATTTTCTTCAGTCAGCCTTTTTTCTTCCCTTCGGAGATAAAGTTTTTTTCTTTGTTTCTGTATTCCCCACTTATCTTTTCTATGTTGCTGAACAGTTTTAACACCAAACGATTTTTCGTTTGACGAACTTACACTTTGCTAATTAAATCGTGCAAATTAATTTTAGTTTTGCTCTCAGCTAAAAGCGAAAAAAATACATAAAAATTAAAATGTTTTGTTTTTCTTTTAACTAATTTGGTTTTTGATACCTGATATTGCGTTTGCTTTTATTTGCTGATGAATTAGGGATGGAACGATACGAGTAAATTCAAGTACACACTCGATACTTTTCGTATTTTGGTATCGATATTTTTGAACCAAGTATTGGGTAGGTATCGAAAAAACATACTCGTATCGAAGCCCGGTACTTAGGCAAATTTCGCATGGCAATTTTTTCCTCCATTGTTATTCCCAATATGGATCGTCTTGGGCCTTATGGCTGCTTAATTTCCAGCGGCTACAACAACCCCGCCCAGGACGGTTGGTATCTCAGTCGTTGTCGTCAAGTTCCACTAACGGCAACGGCGTGCAGCTTCTGTGGGGTTTGTCCACAGGGACAAGGCCGTTAAGGTTGTCGGGTTTTCCGGGCATGCGTGAGGGGTCTCTCCGCATGCCGGACATTCGTTCGGCACACCCGCATTTAACCTACTCAGGTAGGAATTTAGCCTGCTGCAGTAGCCAGAGCGAAGTTGGGCTATTGTTGTTCTGGTCTCCCGAGGCAGATGGAGCTCCGTGGCGTCTATGTCCGGTGTTTGTGTGCCTAGAACGGCATTCACAGGTCTTCAGTCTACATAACTCGAGACTGCGTGGCTGTGAATGCCGTTCAGGGCCTGTCTGTGAGCTGACGGGTCCAGAGGCTGCTTAATGAACCTCTGTACTTGGTCCGTCAGTTCATATAGATGCCTCCTGACGTGCCTCGGCGAGGGCTCCTCTGCAAGCAGCTGTCTATTTGGGTGGCCACATCTGTGGCTCCCAACAAGAAACTGCTTGCAGAGCATCGTGTTGTGCTCCCTAATTGGGAGCATTTTTACCTCATCGTGGAGGTGGTGTTCTGGTGTCATCAGGAGGCATCCTGTCGCTGTACTGAGTGCTGTATTTTGTACCGTCTGTAGCTTCGTCCACTGCGTCCTACTAGTCCCCGGCGACCACACTGGTTCTGCGTAGTTTAAAACCGGCCGGCCTATTGCCTTGTATGTTGCCAGCAACGTGGTCTGCCCATCGTACCGTATGCTGTATTTTGCCTATAACTTGCCGTCTCCACAGGATAAAATTAATTGCTGCCCAGCTGCCATTTTGGTCGCTAGATATGTTATATCAGTGGCAATATTTGTGTGGGCTTTTTATATCTTAATATAAGCATTTATAAGACAGCTTCGAAAATGTATTTTTGCCGGATTTAATCGCTTAAAAAATTTTGAAAAGAGGCTATTTTACATTCAAGTACATAATTACAAAATATTTTAACAGGAACAATAGTCAATTTTTGCTTTTATATCAAAATAATAACGTTGCAGCCACAAAGTTTTCGTGCAAATGAAAATGTAGCTTTCAAACTATCAAATTGCCGACAACAGATGGCAAGATATAAACTCTGATATATATTGCTCTTGAAGAGCAATAAGCGGTCTCCATTGGCTATTTATATTCTAACATATATATCAAGATATAAACTTTATCTTGTGGAGACGGGCAGTAAGGTCTATGTTGCCCTCCCCAATTTTAAACTGGCAACATCATTCTTCGCTTCATTTTGCGAACCTTACCAAAAGTAAGAAGAAGAACATGAGCATATTTTTGTAAACAATAGATTTGTGTTTCTGAAAAGGGCATTTAATAAACAATGGATAAGATCGATTCGGCACAATCATGTAATCCGCGACGTAAAATTCTAGGCCTGGCGGTGTCACAAATTCTAATGGAAAAGGGATTTGACAGTGTGGACAAGGAGTGCTTAGAGACGCTTACTGAAATGTTACAAAGTTGTAAGTTTTTTAATATAATTATATTTTCATTTTATTTCTTAAACTACCCACTAAAGTACTCGTGGAAGTTGGACAATCAGCTTACTGAAATGTTACAAAGTTGTAAGTTTTTTAATATAAATATATTTTCATTTTATTTCTTAAACTACCCACTAAAGTACTCGTGGAAGTTGGACAATCAGCGCGTAGCTATTGCGAGCTTTCCGGTCGTACCATACCCGTAGTGGGTGATGTGGTAGTGGCGCTTGTCAACATGGGCATCTCAATGCAAGGTATCGAAGCGTTTGCTAAGCGTGAGGGGCGGCAAATAATCCCATTGCCACCACAAGCATCTCAGCAGAAGCAATTAAACTTGCTACAAGCGGGTACCAAATCTTCACATCCTCCGCATGTTCCTAACTATTTGCCAGCGTTACCCGATCCACATGCTTATGTTCGCACGCCGGTAAGCCAATAAATCAAATACATATTTAGCATTTCAATAAAAAATTCAATACAAAAGACCCATAAGCAACCAGTGACGGAATACGAAGCTATACGCGAAAAAGCAGCTACACAAAAGCGCGATGTGGAGAAAGCATTAACGAAATTTCTTTCCAAGACATCGGAAACGCATAGTTTATTTGATAATGAGGATAATATGTTTCCTTGTAAGTAAAATTTAATGTATAATCGTGTAAAGAATCAATATATAATGAATGATCTCCACAGTGATTGCTTGCAAGCCAGCATTTCCACCCTACCTAGCGGCCCTAAATCCCACTGATCAAGTGTTTGATTTCGAGGAGCTGGAATATCATTATTTAGTCGCAAATCGCACAGAAGATGTAACCGCAAAAGGTTTTAATGCACTTGAAATTTCTTAAATGTATACGTTTATTCATATACACATTTGTTGTATTATAGATGACAATGACGAAAATGAAAGTGGTAATGAAGAGGATGGGGATGGTGAAATGAAAACGGATGCCAAAAGTGACAAGGAACCTAAGCCGGAAAATGATATCAAGCCTAATTCTACTACCAATAAAGCAATTTTGGAGAACCCGAATATAGATAATCCTTACCTGCGGGCGGCGACATTGCCGAAACGTGCAAAACCAGATCCTGCATTACTAGTCGCCACGGCAACAAGTAGTGGTAATTCATAGGTTGCATTTATAGCAGATTTTTGGCCCTATTTTGTATGGCGACTGATAGCCGATGGCCAACCGAGTCTAGTAGCGCAATTTCCTGTTTCCCGCTTATAACGATTTTGTTATTTGTTTACAGAATCTTTCAAACGCATTGGAGCAAATGCACATGTCAAAAAAAGTAAATTCGGATGTTGTGTGCGTTTTTCTGTATACTGAGATTAATCACTATACATAATACAAAGTACGATACTGGTATCCACGGCTACTAGACCAGCAACTAGACACCAGTTGCCATACATAAAAGGGCCATTTATTTTAGAATTATTTTGTAATAAAATGCGTCAGTTAAAATTTTTAATTAATTCTTTCCACTCGCCCGTCAATTTTCTGTAATAAAAACGCAGTCTCTTTTAGAAGTTCGTCAGCGCACATGATTCAATTATTATTGAATCATGGTCAGCGCAGTAATTTAGAATCAGCTGTTGGCTCCGGCTGCCTGCAGCTTTTTGTTTACAGTGGCAATTTTGCAAACTCGCGCATTTTTATACAAGTTCATAATTTAATTTTTGTACATGCTGTGCGAAATCTCAATACAAAATCATGTTAAATTTTCTGAAGCAAACCCGAAAGTTCGTGAATTCCACTGTACGTAAATAAGTAGATAAAAGTTAGGTTATATTTTGAGTAGTTATTTTTCTAGGAAGCCATTTGCATCGTTTTGGGCAATGAGTCTTGTGATTTGGATTCCGCTGTGTGTGCAATTGCTCTAGCTTTTCATTATCAACAAGAAATTCGGAATACCAAAAACTTTCTGCCTGTCCTCAACATCCCGCGTCGTGATTATCCTCTTAAAACTGAAGTACGTTACCTCTTTAGCCAACAAGCAATTAACGAAGAACATTTAACTTTTCGGGATGAGTTACAACCCGAATTTTTGGAACGTAGTGACCTTATTTTGGTAGATCATCATGTCAGCCCTTTTGCAGCGCGATGCGTACAAGTTTTCGATCATCGAGCGCTCGATGACAAAGCGCAGTTACCGACTAGTTGCAAGACCCGTATAGAGTTAGTTGGCTCATGCGCCACTCTAATTGCAGAGCATATATTAATGTCGTATACATCAGCAACACAAGAAAAACTAGCTGAGATTGAACCAGTCTTGACCATGCTTCACAGCACGATTGTGCTGGACACCGTAAATTTCAGTGAATCGGCAAATCGTGCCACTACAAAAGATGTTGAAATATGTATGAGGCTTGAGGAATTTCTGGAAGAGCTGCCTGTCGATAAGGTGGGAACTAAGCGAACCCAGTTATTTGATTCACTAGTAGCAGCGCGTGCAGATGTAAGCAGCTTAACTTCGTTGCAACTTCTACGCAAAGATTTAAAAATACTAACTACTGGCGACGCTAAATTAAATATCGCCATACCAGGATTTCCGTTGCTGGTGCAACAGTTCATCGAAAAAGAGGATGCAGCAAGTGCTGTTCAAGAATTTGCCAAGGAAACCAATTCTGCAATAGTAGTTCTAATGGGAATGCTTGTCAAAGATGGAGGCGTACAACGTGATTTGGGCTTCATAGACATAGGTTGTAGCGAACTGTGCGCGGCCATACGGCAAAAGCTCTTAGCATCTACCGAACCGGCGCTCTGCTTGCAGCAATACGACAACTGTAATTTTCTCAGCGGCACCTTTTACAAGATGGTTAATATAAAGGCCACCCGCAAGCATGTTTTGCCACTGATAAAGCAGCTGCTTGACCAATGGCAAAAATAATGGCACCATTGAAATTATTTAAGGTAAGTGAAAGCAGGTGGATAAAATTAGTTTCTAATTCATTATTCTCTAATTTTCGTTTATTTTCTTGATAACTTTTAAAAATTTTCAGTTAAAATTCCATACATAATTAAAAAAAGGAGCAGTGGTTGTTCATTGCTCACCGATTTTGTCACCTTCAACATTTTCCTCACCCATTGCATCATCTTCGCATTCCAACACTAGATCTTCCAGCATTTCCGCCAACGTAATATGCGGGACACTATCATTTGCAGCTTGTGTGTCATTGCTATCCACCGGCAGCGATTTCTTAGCATCACGATAGATGTTAATCTGCTTACGGTACTCAACATCTTCCTCCAAATCTTCAAGAAATTCATTAAAGTCGTGTTTGCTGCGTTCATCAGTTGCTTCTTCAGCTAAATGACGTAATTTCCAATTTCGAGTGTTGGCGCGAGTCTGGCGATCTGCATAGCATTTGCGTACTAACAAAACATCAGGTATTTCATCAGAAGATAATTTTTCAAACTCAGTATTGTTCAAGTTTGCTTCACCCAAATTGTAGCCCATCACAGAATCGCCTACCTTTAGCAAATGACCAAGGTGTGAACGTGTATGTATCGTATTATCGTTGATGCCAAGCTCTGATGACCGCACTACCCAAATGTCACACAGCACGTGCCGGAAGGAAATGTGGCCCTGACCTGGCCTGTGTTTTCTGTCTTTTTCCATAATAGGCTCAATATCCATAACAACGTACTCAACCAACTGTTTTGGATCACAAAGCGCCTCGAAGGGATTGCGGAAGAATAACTGCCCTGGCAACTCCGATATTTGTGCAGTCATTGGATCGATCAGATGAATACCTGTTGCAACTTTAGACACCAAGCAAACTGGCGAAATATTACCCAACTGTTGGCGCAGTTTCTTCGATAAACAAACAGCGCTGTCCTTCGATAGCGGTGCTATCTCCACTGACCAGGTATATTTGTAATTATAATTGTTGCTGTGGATGTCGTGCGAAATCAGTCGCTTGGAGGTATTCACCTTTACTGGGACCATGTACTGCAAGAAATCTACCATTTTCTTTGCATGGTTGAAATTGGCATAGTAGAAATCCAAGCCACCGTGCAGCGGTTTTATGCCCAGCGTATTTTCGTGTGCCTTGTGTTTCAAAATCAGCTGCTCCAAATAATAGAATGTCTTCTTATTCTCGGCGCGTTGACGTACCTGCACTAAACAATGCCAAAAATCTTTTGCTTCAGTACGATGGCAATCATCGCACATTTGGTTCTGCACCGTGAATTCCACTATAAAAACCTGTTGCAGTACAGTACCTCCAGAAAGTTCACCATGTACTGTCAACTTGACTTTGATGCGCTTAGAATGTGGCTCAGTCCAGACAAAGCCGGCATCGACGAGTTTAACTTCTTTTAACCCTTTCAATTTCTTAAGACACAATGCCAACAATTCGCGCGACTCCAAAGCTGCTGTCACCCATTCGCCTGGTGGTTGGAGATAACGTTCACAGTTGCGACAGAAATGTAGCACCGCCTGCTTGGGTATACCCTCTGTAATGTCGACGTGATTGCGTAGGCATGTCACACACATATTTGAGGGATTGGGTTCAATTGGAACGCCACACTCACAACACAGGATCATGGTGGTTTTTGTGGATAGCGATGACGGCTCTATGTACTCCATGATGTGCCTTTGTTTGATTGTACGGAGATGTGAATGTTATTGATGTGACGACTTTCCTGCTAACTTTTCGACGATTTATTGTAAATTTATTTACGTATTTTACAAAAAATTTTTGTTTTGAGACACGTGCAGAAACGAAATGCACCAGCTGGCAGTACGTCAACACAAATGAAATATACAAAGCGTTGCCAACTAATCCAGCTAGAAATTGCCGATTGTTGCGAAATTGAAAATGTTTTTGTTGACATTGGCGCGGGTTTCTGTACCGGTTTCACGATAAAATTTTTTTTTATCTTTCTGGTTTATTGAACGTCAAACAAAGTTAATTGTTCGTTTATTTCCTGAGGTAAGGTTTGTTTTTGATGTTAATAAAATATTAGAATGAAATTTTCGTACTAATTTTTTGGGTTTTTGAATTGTCTGACGTGGCGCTGCCAACTATTTTTTCAGTTTGGCAGTTGCCAACTAGTTTTCAGTTTGGCGGGAATTGCCAACTGCGGTGATCAAAAAATTTGTGGCAACACTGGCAGAGTGCTTGCTACACAGTTCTGGGCGCCTGGTGTTTCTGCGACGACCTGTTACGCGACCGATTTTTGGGACTCAAGCGATAAATAAAATCTAGCATGACATTTTTTATAGCATGCGATTTTTTAGACAAAACTGAAAGACCATTTCATCCACTTTGAAGTATACATAGACGATTTTATAATTTCTCACTATTACACTTTCACCCCTATTGCGAGTGTCGACTGGCAGTAGAATAGAAATTTGTCGATCGAGTCGATCATCTTTTATTTTGCTATTGTGTAACTTGATCGATAAAAATTTGTACTATTGTGAATGGTTGACGGAATTGTAAACAGCTGTTTGTTTGTTTACATTTGTTTCATTTACATAATTTTTAAAATAATTGCTTTTATTATAAAATTTAAAAAATGGACACAGTTGAAATATGGTTTGGTGATGAGGAAGATGATGTGGAAGCTAATAGATTAGTAGAGTTGGCTAAAGCAAGGAGGGAATTGCGAGATTCGTCGGATCCCTTGGAGTTGGAAGATGAAGTGTATGTACATATGTGAATTTTATGAATAGAAGTTGCGTTCCCGATGCTTCAAGGTTTTTAGGTTTTACAGGATTTNCATATGTATATTTCACAATTTTTTACAACTTCCAATTCAATTGACTTACTTTTTATCCATTATAGTACCACTTTCTTATGTAAATTTTATAAACGCAAACTCCAACGACTAAAAAACAGCAATAGAAGGATGAGCGATTAAAAAGTATTCACAGTCGCTAATTGAGCGACTAAGCGACACTCACAATACCATCGATAATCGATAATCGCTTAATAGTCGTTTTTCTACTGCCAGTCGACACTCGCAATAGGGGTGTTTATTTCATATTTTTATAACAATTAAAATTTTGATTTTTAATAACAATTTTCGGATGCGTAGCAACAAGTTATGCACAAGTATTCATGATAAAAGTTGGTTCTTTTATAGAATATTAACTAAATAAGCTCAACAATTGCAGATACATACATACTTTAAACTTAGCTATGTGGATTATAGAAAAAATCAGAAAATAACACAAAATTTATAAAATGTTGACATGATGTGAAGCGTTTGTTAGTTATCAATATTGTGCGTATTATGCTGACGAGTGTGTGCCGTCAGCAGCTTTTTAAATGAGTATGTGTATGTTGCACACCATTTGCATAGAATTGCTTAAAAAATAAAGAAGCTGGCAATAAAAAAGAAAAAGTTGGCTATATCTGTTTACGTATTATAACTTTGCTCTACTGTGTTGGCGAGAACTCAGTAGGAGCTAAAATGCGTGTGTGCATATCTTTAATGAGTGGCACTGTGTAGGCAACACATTCATCCCAACCGGGTGAACGCCAGGCGGCTTCACGTGTCTCCTTACGGTCCAATAAAGACTTGTAGCCTACATAGCAATAAAAGAAGAATGTACATACATATATGCAAATAAAAATAGCAACAAAGGTAATTTTGTAAGCGACTTACACCAAATATGATGCACATTGTATAGACGGCCGACTTGTGAGAAGAAACCGGCAAAAGCTTCGTTGTTATGTTTACGGAAGTTAATGGCTCGCGCCCAATTGTTGCCCCACTCAATCATTGTGCCGGGTTTTAATCGATATGAACTGTTTTAAGGAAAATTAAAAAAATACTTTTAAAAGTTAAGATATGTTTTTGTGTTTGCTTAAGCTTACCGCATCTCGTAGATATGTTTGTCTGGACGATTTTCGATTTTCGGCCAGTAGCTGAAGGCCAACAAATATTGTAAATGACGTGAACGTAAATATTTTATGCGCTCATTCATTAAACTCATGTACTCCTTTAAAATTTAGGTATGTATTGATTTTAAAAGCAACGCTAATTAAAAAATCTACTAACCTCATCATTCCACAAATCTTCCTTCGCAATATCGATCTTTTCAAAACCGCCAGTGTACTTCCATAAATGCAAACACTGATCCATATCACCGACATGTACGGTCCAAGAAGCGACCAAGTTGCATGATAAATTTGCCTTCTTTTCATTAACCAATTGTACAGAAGTTTTGCTGGAATGTAAAAGAATAATCATCAGAACCCGCTCTTAAACAGTTAACAGCAGGCTTTCCGACTATGCAAATATCACTCACTAATTCTTCAAATAGTCATCCATATAACCGGGACGTACATTGTGCGTATGCAAGGCATAAATGATTTCCTTATCACTAAGCATGCGACTGTGTGATTCTTTAGTTGGCTCAATTTTACGCACCAACAACTTAGAAAACCATGAATCGGCTTCGTTGAGTGGTGCTGAGGTAGCTATGGAGCTGGTTGGAAAATTAAATACGAAAATAAGTTAAAAACGATAGTTAAAAATAAACTGTATAGGTATAATCAAATGAAATTAGCTTGCTTACCGTACTGCTGTGTTATTGATAACGTTCGATAAATTCCTTAGCTTAATCATTTTGCTTGAGTTTGTTTGTTAAAGGCTGCAATGATAAGATTAAAATATAGTTTATATTGCTGCCGGTAATCAGTTTGTTTAAATTTGCAGCTATGCGCCAGAACTTATCGACAGCGTTAATAAAAACAAAGAACAATCATACAAACATATGTACATAGTTCATAGGTACGTTGAATGCTTGCGAATCATCAAAAATTATCTCTGAAAGTAAAAATCGCGCAATACATTTATATACACATGTATGCACAATTGTTTAGTATATACCAAATCGACAATCATATTTCTGACGACATTTGCTTGTGGTTTTATTGTTCCAATTGGCTATTTTTGCCTGCGCACTGTATTGGAAAGGTTATACGTACAAATTTATGTAGGTAAGTATATGTAGATATAAGTCAAGCAATCATTGTTGGGGTTCGCGCATTCAGAATAAATAGCTGCACTAATTAACCTTATTTTCTTATCACAAAGAATGCTACAAATACGATAGTCAATTTTCTAAAAATTTTGCAATGTTTAGTTACCTTTTATTGCCGTATATGCAAAAAAAAATTCGTTATTCGGTAACAACGCCAACAGCGGCGACTGCAGCAATGTGTTGATGCAGTGTTGGCAGCGGTAGCAACTACAAATTTGTTTAAACTCAAAGAAAATTACAAAAAAACACCACTAACTGAAAAAATTACGAAAATATAAACAACTGCATGAATTTCCACTTTGTGCGCTCCACTTTTTCCGCTGC